CGATGCTTTCCAGGCCCATGATCCACAGGGAGGGCATGGCAGGGCCTTGGGGCTGGCTGGTGCTCTGTGTAATTCCAAGGCCAGGGGAAAGCTGGAAAAGCCAGGGAAAAGAGGCTGTGTCATCAAACCTGGGAGTCAATATTTAGCCTGGAAGCTGCTCCCCTGCCCTCCTCAGCCCTTCCACCAGCAGCTCTCACAGCCAGATCATGTTTCCCCCCTCCCAGAGACACTTTTATCAGTCTCAGGGCAAGGGAAAAGCTGGGATTTGGGGGGGTTTCAAGGGATTAGGAAAGAATTTGCCTCTGGGAATCTCTTTCCTCCATCTGCCTGGGATAAACTATGGGATGGAGGTGGAGGCTTTGCAGCTCAGCAGGGAACTGCTCTGAGCTAAACATGTAAAGGCAAAAACACTCCTGGTCCCTCCCTGCTGCGGGAAAAGGGTGTTGAAAGGTCCTGGAAAGGGTGAGGAGAGCTCTGCATCCTGTGGCTCCATTTGCGATGCAGTGGAAGGATGTTTTGCCTGAGCTCCCTGTGTGCAGACAGAGCTTGGGCAGCCCCTGGGATCTTTCCTGGAAGGAGCAGCTCACCCATGGGAGGCAGGATGGGAGCACGATGGGAAGCGTGATTAGCTGGGAGAAAAAGGGATTTTTATTTGGCCTGTTGATGATTTTCTGCTTTCATTATGTCCCTGTAAAGCAAACAGGCTTTAACAACCCTACTGGAGTGGGAATACAGCTGGGAAAGCTGCCCTGGCTGCTGGGGGGGCTGGGTGGTTTTCACCAGGGTTGTCTGAGCACTGCTGGTCCCAGAGGATTCCTCCATCCCTCCTCCATCCATCCTGCCAGCTTCCAGGGCACATTGTTTATCACACAGCAGCCCAGTCCTGTCCCTGCCAGGGAGGGGCAGTCCCTACCCTGGAAAGCAGAGGCTGCTCCTGAGCTCCTGGAGCTGGTCCTGGTCCTAAAGCAGGGCCATGACCCAACCTCGGCAGAGCCCTGGGAGAGGCAGTGCCTGCTTTATTCCTCCTTTGGATCTTGCAGTCAAGGACCTTTCCCACCTCTGCCGGAGGAAAAAGTCAATATTGCAGGTGTGAGACACCACAACCTCAGGGTTGGGGTTTTTTTAAACATGAAGCCTTTTTAGAACATCAGCTCCATGTCCCCAAAGCAGGATGCACCCAGAATATCCCACCCTGGGAGCAATCACTGCTGCACCACATCCCTGGCACAGGAGCTCCTGCCCTGGCTGTTTCTGCCTGTGCCGAGCTGGGGGCTCTGGGAACCTCCCACAGGCAGGGCCAGAGCCCAGGAGGCCTTTGCAGCTCCCCAGAGGAGATGTTTCATCTCCTGGGAATGGGTGGGATGGGACATCCCCCTCCCCACCTGCCTGTGACTGTGGCTCCTGGGGATGTGACTGGAGGAACAGGGATATCAGAGGGGCTGGAGGGCAAAAACTGGTTTTCCCCAGGGTTGTGTGAGCCCTGCTGGTCCCAGGGGATTTCTCCTCCTCTCTCTCCAGGAGACAGAAACCTATCTGTCAGGTTTCTGATCTTCCTCTACATCCCCAGCACCTCCAACCATCCCTCCATCCATCCCCCAATCCATCCATCCCTCCATCCATCCCCCCATCCATCCATCCCTCCATCCCTCCCACAGCTGGCTCAGAGCCCCCGGCCTGGGGGGCAAACAGGGGCTCAGAGTTCCAGAGGGTCCTTTGCAGCTCCTGGATGAGATGCTTTGTGTCCTGGCTCCATCCTGGGAATGGGTGGGACGGGACGTCCCCCCTCCCACCGGTCTGTGGCTGTGTCAGGGCTCCCTGGGGACGTGGCTGCAGGAACAGGGACACGGCAGGGGCCAGAGGTTTTCCCCAGGGTTGTTTGAACCCTGCTGCTCCCAGGGGATTTCTCCTCCTCTCTCTCCATCTCCCCCGTGCCCGGCAGGTCTCTGACCCACCTCTGCATCCCTCCATCCCGGGCTCAGAGACCCCCGGGGCGCTCCCAGAGGGACGAGCCCCATCCCAGTGCCCTTTGGAGCCTCCCCCCGCACCCCGGTGCCCGGGGGAGCTCCCCTGCCCGGGGCCGGGGCCGAGCCGCGCTCTCGAGGCAGCAGCGATTGGGCGCTATTTTGCTCCTTGGGCAGCTGTCGCTGTTCATTAGCGGAGCGGGGCCAGCCCGGGGCTGCCGGCGAGGAGGAGGCAGCGCTGGGCACCCCAGGTACGACTCTGGGGGCTTTGACCCTCACGGTGCTCGAGGGGCACCCGCGGGCATCACCCACCCCAGGCCGGGGGAATTTAGGACCCCCGGGGCCCGTCCCGGCGCTGCCGGGTGAGTGTGAGCGGGGACAGAGGGGCGGGCGGGGCGGCTATTTTGGGAAGTTTCTTTGATGTGAGTCAGCGGTAAAAGGCACCCCCGGGAGCTCGGGGGGGAGAAGTCCCGGCGGCAGAGGAGCAGAGCTGATTGTTGAGCGGCTGCGATTTGGGGCACTGAAGAGAGGGGCTGGTGTGAGCAGTGACCGGGATGGATGGTCGGGCAGGTGTGGAGGAGGTTCCCTCTGCGGGGTCAGGGGGAACCAAGGGCTGGAGCTGGACCTGGGGGCTGTGGATGACCAACCTTGCCATGGGCAAAATGTCCCTGGCATTGGTGTCCATCCCTGGCATTGGTGCCCATCCCTGGCACTGGTGTCCATCCCTGGCATTTTGGTGTCCATCCCTGGTATTGGTGTCCATCCCTGCCCTGCCTGGCCTGGGCACTGACTGTTCTTGGATCCCCAGCTCTGAGCTGGTCCCGCGGGATCCAGCCTCGGGAAGGCTGTTCCTGCAGGTGCCACGGCCCATCCTGGCTGGTGATGGGTCCCTGCATGGGCTGTAGAGCCTGAACTGCCTCCAGCTCCTTCCAGCAGTTGGAGCTCCATGTCCTGTCCGAAGGGATGGCCCCGGGCATGGATCTGGGCAGCTCTGGGGAGAGTGAACACCTCTGGGGAGGAACAGCCAATGCCCCCCAGTCTGGAGGCTGTTTGGGCTCCTCCATCTGGGGGAGGCCCAAGAGGTGGAGGTGTGGGAAGAGCCTGGCACCCTGTGCCAGGAGCTGGGCTCAGCTGAGGGCTGGGCAGCCCCACAGGGTGTGGTGGGATGGCACTGGGCAGCCCTGCAGAGTGTGGTGGGGATGGCACTGGTGCTGCCCCACTCGAGTTCAATGAGAGTCCCTTGATGTGAGGTGGCAGCAGGTCCCCATGTGGGGCTGGAGGAAGATTTGGGATGCCCTGAGGCCACCAATGAGCTGTTGGGTGGGCAGAGAATGCTCAGAGACGACCAAGGAGGGGTGAGAGAAGAGGTCTCTTGTTCTCACCTTGAGCTGCCAACCATGGCCGTGGCTGTGCCAGTGCCGCTGCCAGGGTGTGGGAGGCTCTGCAGGAGAGGGCTCAGCCTGGCACAGGAGGCTCTTTGTGGTGGTGTGAAATCACAGGGTGACCTTGGGCATTGAGGGGCATCCCTGTGGCACCAACTCCATGGGAACACCAGCTGTACCCAAGGAGCAGAGGAGGTTGTGCCCTCCTCAGTCTCTCTCACACTCAGCTGGGCTCTAAACCTGTTCTAAACCTGTGTGAATGGATGTGAAGCTCAAAAACATGGAAGAAAAACTCTTTGAGGAAAAATTCTGCATCTTTGTGCTTTCTCTGGGTCTGGGAACCCCCTGTAGCCACCACGAGAGTCCTGGGGAAGCTCCAGCCCTTCCCAGCACAGAAAGGACCAGACTCACCATCACTCAAACAAAACCAAAGACTGACTTATTTATCTATTTATTTTATTTATTTATTTATTTATTTATTTATTTCTCTTTATTTCCTCTTGAAAGCAAAGATCTTTCAGATCTTTGGTCCTTGGCCAGAAGTTTTCCTCTTATTTATCTGTTTTGCTCCCAGTATTGAATCTTAGATGTCATCCTGAGAACTGGTATTTCTTCTCAGTGTTCCAAAAGGGGAAAATAAACTAAAAGCATCTCAAAGGGGGCAAAAAAAAAATCTCCTTCTGGTGAGGGCTTGGCAGGAAGTGGCACCCAAATGCCAGCAGAGTAAGGGCTGGACTTGGAGCTGCCAGGAGGGTTGAGGGGTGATGGGGTTTGCTGGTTCCTCCTCAGCCCTGTAGCTCACACAGGGCAGAGAACCCTGAGGAGCCCAACACACTCCCCAGCCTTGCTTTGTTTCAGGGCTCTGGGGACCTTCCAGTTTTCTCTCCCACTTCACAGCTGGGAAAACCCCAAGAGTCATCCCAGAGCTTTGTGATCCTCTGGGGTGTCTTGAGCTCTTCTGTCAGGTCTGGTTGCTCCACAGTACCTGGAACTTCTCCTTCTGTGAAGCCTCCAGACACAATTTCAGGGTGCCCGGGCACTCTCTGGGTTGTTCATCCCCCCGTGTGCCTTGGCAGGTGGTCACTGTCCCCTCAGCTGCAGCTCACAGGGATGTCCAGGATTTCGGGGCTCAGAGTGCCCGACCTGCCCAGTGCTCCTGTTACACCCTGAGCTCCCCAGCACTGCCTCGATGGCCGAGGGGTTTCTGCAGCACTAATGGGGGAAACGTGGCTGTGATGTGCCCTCTCTGCAGGCCAGGGGGTGGCATCGAGGTGCCGACACTCCCCTACCCCTGGCAGTTCCCACCTCCCCGAATTTGTCACCCAGTGCCCCTCTTTGTGCTTGTCTTTGCCAGATGCCAACACTGGGGTGAACAGCGACAGCAACAGGAGAGCAGGAGCTCATGTAAGTGCCCAAAATGTGGGGCGAGGGTGCCAGGGGGGACCCCCGTGCCAGGGCAGGGCAGGGGGATGAGCAGGGGCTGTCCCACGGCATTCCAGCCGGGAAGGCTCTGCGGGGTGTGCGGCACGTCCGTGCCGGGGCTGCCCGAGGTCCCTCAGCTGTCGCTGTCACTGATCCGTGCCCATGGGCAGCTCTGGGTGCCGCTGGCACCAACCGGGACCCAACGCCGGCCACCAAACCCCACCCAGCGCCGAGCACAGACCCCAGCGCGGCTCCCTCCCCTCCCGGCACAGCGACCCTGCCGGGATCCCCCCCGGATCCTGGATCCCGGATCCCCCACACTGCCCTCGGTGGATGCTGCAACCCCGCAGCCCAAACCCGGCCCCCAGCGCTGGGGGGGATTCCCCAAGCACAGCCCGGGGGTCCACGGGCACCAGCCCACCCGCGTGTGCCAGGGCCGGCTCGGGGCTAAGTCCAGCTTAGCAGATAAAAAATAAACGCCAATTTGGTTTTAAGGCTGCTGAGGGAACACGGCAGTGACGAGCCGGGTCGGTGCCGCTCGGGGCTGGCGGCAGGAGCAGCTGAGCCCCGGGGACAAGGAGAGTGTGGGAACTCCGAGTGTGAGCAGGCAAAGGGACTGGGGGGATGGCAACAGGACCGAGAGGGGCGGAAAAGGGACCGGGAGGGGTGGAAAAGGGACCGGGAGGAGCAAAGGAGTTGCAGGGGGTGGCGAAGGGGCTGGGAAGGGACACAGGGTCGGGGGCTTTCTCCCGTGCGCTGGGGGGGCCCAGACCCGCCCCGTGCCCCCCCAGCCCGCCCAGCCACGTCCCCCCTCCCCGCAGGGACTAGAGGAGGGGAGTCCCCGGTTGGTGAGTGAGCAGGACCCGGAGCAGCCTGAGCCGAGCTGAGCCGAGCTGAGGTGAGCCTAGCTGAACTGAGCTGAGCCCAGCTGAACTGAGCTGAGCATGCCAGAGCCAGCGCCGCTCGGAGGGGACAGGAAAGCAGCGGAGAGGAAGCGGGTGGAGAAGGTGGGAGCCAAAGCAGCACCTCCAGGTAGGTGCGTGGGGAAGACTCCCTGGAAATTCCCTGCACCGGGATGGCCACCATGGCCTCAGGTGGAGCAATCCCGTGTTCCCAGCCGGTCTGGCCACGGGAGGAGCTCTGCTCTCCACGGTCCCCTGGCAGCTCAGGGACATGGAGCTTCTCAGCCACCTGGCAAATCCCCCTCATCCTCCTCCTCCTCCTCACCATCCTGCCCAGATTTATTACTGGAGGGGGAACACGGGTAGAGGTTTTCCCAGAGTGATCCCCAGGATACTCAGATGCCACTGTAACCCAGACCCCTCGGGCTCAGCCCCCTGGGACACTCTTCTCCCCCGGTCCTGCAGTGCAAACACTTGGCAGGAGCAGGGCAGGGAGCTCCTTAACCCCAACCCTAACCCTAGCCCTAACCCTAACCCCAATCCTAACCCCAACCCTAACCCTAACCCTAACCCTAACCCTAACCCTAACCCTTACCCTTCCCTGCCCCTTCCCTTGCCCCTGCTGGTGTCCCTGTCCCTGCTCCTGCCTTTTCCTGTGTCCTCATCCCTGTCCCTGTCCTGCTCCTGTCCTTTTCCATGCCCCTTCCCTTGCCCCTGCTCTTGTCCCTGCTCCTGTCCCTGCCCAGGGTGGGCTGTGCAGGAGGATGTCGAGACCCCTTCCCACCCCATCTCAGATCCCTTTGTCCCTTCCCAGTTCTCCCATTAACTCTGTTTTCCTTGGGGGGTCCCCAGTGCCCAGGAGCCTCCCGGTGCAGAGCAAGGCAGAGCCCCCCAGCCTGGAGCCCTCGGAGGAGCCGCTGCTCTGGGAAGGGCTCACCCTCAACAAGTGCATCCTGGTGGCCTCCGTGGTGGCCCTGCTCAGTGTCACCTTCCAGGTGCTCCAAGGTGAGCTGGGGCTGCAGGGAGGGGGACAGGGCGGCCAGACTCTGCTGCCACCCCCTGCCTCTCTCCCCTCTTCTCTTCCAGCACCATGTTCCAAGGAGGGGATCACCCGAGGCCGGCAGGAGCCTCCACCACCACCTCCTCCCCTTCCCGGTGGGTTCTGAGCTCCGTGTTGTCCCAGTCCCACAGATCCAGCCTGATATGGGGCCACATCCAGGGCGGGGTGGCCCATGCCTGGGACATCCCACCCAAACATCCATGGCCTGTCCCTCTCCCCTCTCAGAGGTGCTGAGCCCCAAGGAGGAGGTCCCAGAGGTGGGGACAGACCGTCCTGTCCCACTGGAGAGCAGCGCGTTGGAGGGTGGAGAGGAGGAGGAGGAGGAGGAGGAGGAGGATGACAGTGAAGCCGACAGCAACCTGGTACGGGGCCAGGGGCACCTCCTGCAGGGGGAGCATCTTATCCCTGGGGGAGGGATGGAGGAGGGTCCCAGGCCCCAGGGCTGCGTCATCACGTCCTGGTTCCCTCTGTCCCCACACAGGCAGAACCCTGGATCTTCAAGAAGTGGTTTGGCCGCGCGACTCCAGAGGATGAGGACAAGGATGAGGACAAAGATGAAGCTGAGGATAAGGGTGAGGATGAAGACAAGGATGAAGAACCCACAGATGTCCCCGAGGTGCCACCAGCTGCAACAGAGGTGAAGAAGAGCCAGGAGAAGCAGGAGAAGAAGGTGGAGAAGGAGGAAGAGGAGGAGGAAAAGCAGGAGGAGGACAGGGAAGAAAAGGAGGAGAAAGAGGAGAAGGAGGAGGAGAAGGAGGAGGAGGAGGAGGAGCAGGAGGAAGAGGAGGAGAAGGAGAAGAAGAAAAAGGAGAAGAAGGAGAGGAAGGCCCAGGAAGGCCGTGCCACCCATGCAGAGCGCAGCAGCCGGAGAGAGGCACGAGCCAAGGACAGGACACCAGGGGACAAACCTGGCAGAGCCCCCAGGACCCCCAGGGACCCCGAGCAGCAGCCCCAGAAGAAACGGGACCGGGAGAGGAAGGAGAGGAAGGAGCGGAAGGAGCGGAAGGAGAGCCGGCGGGAGCGGGATGAGCCCAGGAGGGAGGGAGGGAAGGGCCGTCCCAGCAGGGCTGACGGCGGCCGGGAGAGCCCCAAGAGGGACTGGAAGCAGCAGAAGGGCAGGAAACCCTGGGAATCAGCTCCGGGCAAGGATGGCAGGGCCAAGGAGGGCAAGAGGCGCGACTGAGGCCGGGGCGGCCGAGGGGCTCCGTGACACTGGATCCAGGGACACCCAAGGGGATCCAACCCACCACTGCCCCCAGCTCCTGCCTGTTCTCCATGGACATCCCTGAGCCATGGGCAGCACCCCAGGATCCCCGAGCAGCAGCAGAGCATCCCAGGAGCCTGGCATGAGCCTCTCTGGGGACTTTGGGCCCCCCTGGATCAAATGGCCAAAGGCGACCTGAAAGGACCCGGGCAAGGAGCTTCTCTTCGGGTTTTGTGTCACTGCCCCGTCCTCACCCAAACCCCCTGCAGGTCTTTCCCACCCACGGGGTCATTTCCACCCAGGGCAGCACAGTGGGGTCCCACTGACCCCAGGGAACAGAGTTGGTCTCCAGACTGTGCAGCTCTTCAGTTACTGGTTTTATTTAAAGCAAATCAAGAGAGAAGAATATCCTGGGTTACAGAACCAGAGGGACATCGGGGACAGACCCCCCGCAACCCCACTCAGTGCCATCGCTGAGGGTGGCACAGAACTTGCAGGAAACAGAACCAGGTTGGAGCCCCTCACTGGGGATCCCTTCAGGCTTTGCCTTCACCTTTCAGGAAGGAAACACAAGTGCAAACCTCACACAGCACTGGAGCCACTGCAGGAGACATTCACAGCCCCAACCCATGGCAGGTTTTGGTATTTGCTGAGTCAATAGAGGTTAAAATAAACTATTTTCATTTTTAATAAGATGTTCAACTGGATGTTTAAAAAGAAAGGGGGGGGGGAAAGGAAAAAAAAGCACGAAAAGCCCTTGTCCCTGGCTGTGTGTGTGTATTTTCTGTGCCCCCCAGAACTGAGGGGCTCAGGGGTACCCCGGGTCCCTGTGGGGCTGCAGGACAGGACCAGTGGATGCCAACTCAGCCCTGTGGGGACACTGCAAAGCCCAAGAGCTGCTCCCAGCACCGGGAGGTGCAGCCAGGACAAGCTCAGGAGCTGCTTCCCAAGGGTTTGGCTCCCTGTCTGAGGGCTGGGCTCAGCTGGAAAGATGATCCGGGCGCTGATGCTGGCGGGGACACAGAGCAGGTGCTCTGGCAGCCGTTTGCTCCCGCTCCCATTAATGGTGTGAGAGCCCAGGAGGTGTAACGGGATCACTCCCTCCCTCTGGGATTGGGGTCAGGGCAAGGTGACATGAATGTGACCTGGCCAGGAGCCCCAGGCCACGGCCAGTGGGTCTCCACAGCCCCAGTCCCACAGGGACGGCCCCTGCAAGGGGGTTTGGCCTCTTGCTCTGCTGGCACAGGTGGAGTCCTGTGGCCAGAGGGGGCTAAGGATGGGCTGGGAAATGGCCAGAGGATGCTGCAAGGCTTGGAGGAAGCAACACCTGCCCTTCCCAGCCACTACAGGAGCAGAAAGGCAGCGATAAATAAGTGCAGTCTTGGCTGGATCTGCCAAGCTTTGCCCTCCTCACGGCCCCACAGCCCAAAGCCCCCCACGGGGTCAGAGCCCGCAGCAGCTCAGCCCTACAGGCATCCCCAAAATCGGCAGTGGGGACACACCAGGCTGTGGAGCAGCCCCCGGGGACAGGCAGCTCCAGCTGCAGAGGGACTGTGAGGAGCAAAGGAGCTGCGGGGGGTGGCAAAGGGGCTGGGAGGGGATCAGGAAGGGGCTGGGAAGAGATGGTGAGTGGGCTGGGGGGGGATAGCAAAGGGGCTGGGAGCGGTGGAAAAGCGACTGTGAGGAGCAAAGGAGACACCAGAGAAACCTGAGAGACACTAACGAGCCAAACCGTGGGGAAAGGACACACGGGAGCTCCCGTCTCCACGGGAAGCACCAGCTCCAGCTGCGGGGAGGGCGGGCCGGGAGGAGCCTCACCGACACCCACACTCCTCTGCCACCATGTTGGGGAACTTGCGGACCTCCAGCCCCTCCGGCGAGAGGCTGATGATGAGCTGGTCGGAGTAGCGCACCGGGACGCAGCAGGGCGGGCGCTGCAGCGGCGCCCCCCGCTCCTGCATCCCCAGCAGCAGCACCGTGTGCGAGTAGTAGCTGGGCACGCGGGTGGACAGGGGCAGCCTGCAGGGCCCCTCGCAGTTGTTGGCCGCGTACACGGTGGGCATGACGATGAACTTGCGGTCGTGCAGGTCGATGGTGAGCTCCTGGAGGCGGCAGTGGGCCGGGGGCCGAGCGCTGCGGTGCTGCCGCTGCACCTTCCTGCGCTCCTGCCAGCGCGCCCGCACCGACTGCAGCGCCTTCAGCAGCAGCAGCGTGTGCAGCTTCCTGGAGCCCGGCACCCGCTCCGGGGCCTCGCCCTCCTCCCCGCCCCGCGGGAAGTAGCAGAAGCTCAGGAGGTGCTGGAAAAGCGCCGTGTTGGCCTGGAAAGCCGGGATGTCCCCCAGCTCCTGGATGACCCCCCGCAGTTTGCCCGTGAGCAGCTCCAGCACGGTGCCCTCGGGCTGCCAGTGCCCCAGGAGCTGCTCCAGCACGGCCCCGCTGTCCTGCGGGAACAGCAGCACCGAGGGCTCCTCCGACTGCACCAGCCGCTCCAGCGCCGCCTCCTCCGACAGGTTGAGCAGCTGGTGAGGGAGGGTCTCCATCGCCTGGAAGTCCAGCCAGTGGTGGGCGCTGGGCTGGGGGGGCAGCTCACTGGAGGAGCTCAGGACCTGCCGGATGAAGCGGGTCAGCATTCCCAGGAATTGGCTGCTGCTCCCGGGAGCTGGGGATGAAGTGTTGGCCTGGCTCGGGGCCGTGGGGGTTGGCAGCTCCTCGGTCCCGGCCTGGGGTGGGCTGCAAGGAGAACACAGGGAGGGTCACGGGGTCCTCGTGTGCCCCGGAGGTCCCACCAGGTTGTGCTCCACATCCTCCTGCCGTGGTCCTACATCCCCTGTCTCCCAGTCCCTGTGTTTTCCCATTCCTAAGGCCACGGACCTGAGCTGTGGGTACGGAGCCGTGTCCACCACCCCGTCAGCAGAGAGGTAGGAGGAAGGGGCCAAAGCCTTCTCCTCCTCCTCCTCCCCCGGCCGTGCCTTGGCCAGCAGCAGCAGCACCGGGGTCATGCGGGTGAAACACTTGTCATCAGAGCCGAACAGGAGCTGCTGCACCTCCGAGGGGGGCAGGGGGGCACCTGGGGGACGAGGAGCGGTGAGGACGATAATCTGGGGTCTGCTGCGCGTCCCCACCGCCCCTCGGGGGTGGAGAGGACCCCAAACGCCCGAGTGGGGACGCTCGGGCGGGTCCCCGTCCGTACCTCCCTCGGCGCCGCGGATCGTCAGCGATGCCGAGAAGCGGAGCTGCTCCGGGCCGCGGGTGACGGAGCCGGCGGCGGCTCCCAGGACCAGGTACTGGGTGTCCCTGGACAGGCAGAGCCTCTGCGCGGGGGCGGGAGACACGGCAGAGCCGGGGACGTGGGTGAGACATCACGGGCACAACACCCACGTGTGGTCCCTGCGGGCTCAGGGTCGCCCAGCCCGCGGTGGCCCCGGGAGCAGCGACATGGGACGGGGGCTTCGTCCCCACACCCAGAGCTGCTCCGGGACCCCACGGGACCCCCGGGTGGGCAGAGAGCCCCGGGGCAGGCGGGGACCGGGACCCCCAGACCGGGCTGGACACCCCGGGCAGCCCCTCCGGCCCTGCGGGAGCTGGGAACGGGATAAGAGCTCCATCTGCAGGCACGGCCCGGCCGGCGGGAGCGAGAGACCGGGCGGGAATGCCGGGATGGGATGGCAAAGGGATGGGAAGGGTTGGCAAAGGGACTGTGAGATGATGCCAAAGGGTCTGGAGGAGGGGCAAAGAGTCTGGGAAAGGATGGTGAATGGACTGGGAGGGGGTGGCAACAGGACTGGGAGGGGTAGAAAAGGGGCTGTGAGGAGCAAAGGAGCTGCAGGGGGTGGCAAAGGGGCTGGGAGGGGATGGCAAAGGTGCTGGGCAGCAGGGCCGGGACACTCCCGCCCCAATCCCACCCCGGCCCGGCCCTCCGACCCACCTGGTCCCTCGCCAGTCCCGGGCCCGTGACCAGCAGCTCCTGCGGGCGCCCGGAGCCCTCGGGCCGGCCCAGGTAGAAGAGCATCGCGGCCGCCTGCAGCTCCCCCAGCGCCCGGCTCAGCTCCGCCTGGAAAACCAGCTGGAACTGCAGCTTCGCCTGCGCTTCCCACTGCACTGGAACGGGGGAGACACGGGGTGAATCCCCCTCTGACACTGCGGGACCCCCGGGGGGTGAGAAAGGGGCTTCAGGGCTGAGCCCCGTTCCCACGCAGGGACCAGAGGAGCTGGGACAGGAGGAACAGGGTGGAAAAACACGGCAAATGCCAGTCCCCAGCCCCAGGGAGGTGGCAGGAGGCAGATCCTGCACCCGGAGAGAAGGGGCTGCCACCCCCAGATCCCCATGGAAATCTCCTCTCCAGTGGCTCAGGGACATTGTGGCCACTTCCCCACTGCCCGGCACTGGCGAGTTCAGCTGCAAATCCAAACCGCGGGAGGGGAGGAAGGGATTTTAGGAAGAGGGAAACACCCCTGACTCTCCTGCTACGGGTAAAACAGCGGTTTGTGCTCCCCCTCCAGCGCCGGGCTTATCCCCAGGATGGGACAGGGGAAGGTGTTCCTGGTTTTTCCTTAAGGCTGAAGCTGCAGGAGCAGCTCCACAGCCCCCAGTGTGGGAGGGGGCTCAGGGCACAACGGGACCAGCCAGGTCCAACCCTCCCTCCCCTCTCTTAGAGTTGGGACAGTGTCCAAACCCACATCATCGAGGCAGAGAAACACCCGTACTCGTGAGAGCAGAGCAGAGCCCACCAAGAATGTGACACCCGGGTGTTGGTCACAGGCAGGGACAGGTGCCCTGTTGCTCAATCCATCATCCCTGCTAAACCTCCTGAAAAATGTACCCAGAAAGACGCGGCGAAGTGCCAGTTTTACAGCAGTTTTTAAGAAGCTTTAGCACTTACAATGTCTTTCCCTTATTTTAAAGGGAATCCAACCCCTCAGGTTTAATTCTGTTTCAATCTGACTTAGGGCCAGCCAACGGCATCGCCCGCCATCTCAAG